CACTAGCTCTTCTGAGGAAATAATTACCATTGGTGATCTAGGACTTATAGTGACCCGAGGACTGTGCGCGACGTGCCAAAAATCATACTCTGGTTTCTCTTCAGATCGCATAAATCTTTCGCCTTTTACTAAAGATTTCCGTGGAGAGGAACAATTCTGAGTTTATGCCTAATTTTTTGAGGCCTTGCGCTCGCAAGGCTAATAAAAATGTCGAAAAAAACAGATTTTGCAGCTACATGACTAAAATATTTTTAAGCGTGCGTTAGTTTTTTTGTAAGCGTAGTAGTAGCTTTTATAATTTTGTCTGATCTAGTTCATTACACATACGTATGTATTTTCTGGAGTTTCTAAATCTGTAAGTATAAAGCGTGAGTATGACGCATAATCCTTACTGCCCTGTTTTTTTGTCGTTGGACGTTTGCTGTTGTGTCTGACCGCTATGCACCATGCGTCCATTTGAAGAAAAAAACAATGGTTGTTTTTTGAGTAGGCGGGATAAACGGACGAAGAAAGCGTGGGTTTTCCCTACTTTTTCAAGGAACTGACTGGACTACTACGCTTGAAGGTTGCTCACCGTGGGCAGCGATATATCCCTGCCTACTAGGTGATCTTTAGAAAAATGTGTTTCTGGCGTGCTTTGGGTTGTGCATCAAGAATTGTGTGTTCTTGGAGAGGCAAATGCTGACCCCAGTAGAGAAAAAAAAAAGACAAGCGCCCTCATTCGGGAGGTTCGGGGAAGAAGGGGCCAGCTCACGGAGGGCTGCTAACCGCAGCCTTGCTCCCTAGCAGCCACACAGCTATAAGAAATTCAAGAACATTCACAGAGATGGCGGATACACGTCATCCCTAAGGCTTTGAATTTGTTACGTTCACACGTTAGAGACCACCAGGCATTAACTTGAACTGCGTCCTGTGCCTGGAACCAAGCAATCGGAGCAATCGTCCAATAGATGTTGGCTACCTATAGAATACCTGGTTAACTTGTTTTTGTCGAGGCCTTGATTAAAACTTTTAAAGTTCAAGCTTGGGCATATCTATTCACATTTTTCAAAGCCCACCTCTCTGAGGTTCTGGCTCCAAGTATTGCACTTGTGTAACTTTGCTTTTAAAAAAACTTGAAATATAATTGGTTGCTATTTATATAACATATTTATAAATGTTTTTTTCCTGAAGAAATAATTTAGCCTTAAAACTAGAACCGGATCATTTGTTAAAACAGAAAATTCTCAGGTTTATCTGTGATTCCAAATTTTAAAGTGGATCAAGACAGCAAGTAACTGTTATAAATTCAAACTTTAAAAATAAACTTATGCTACATGACAATCAAATGCAATTTACAAACCTTAACTGGATTTTAAACAAAAAAATAAAAATGAAAGAAGAAAACAGAAGGTACATTTTGGGATAATTGTGGAAGATTTAATATGTACTCTATTTTAGATCATATTGAATTGGTAATTGTATTAGTTTTCTTGTTGATGCTGTAACAACCACAAACATAGTGACTTAAAACAACATAGGGCCGGCTGAGTGGCTCAGTTGGTTAAGAGCATGAGCTCTGAGCAACAGGGTCGCCAGTTTGATTCCCACATGGGCCAGTGAGCTGCGCCCAGCTGAGCTGTTGCCGAGCTGCCAACAGGCAGCAGGATGGCTCAGCTGGTGAGAGCAGTGCTCCTAACCACAATGTTGCAGGTTCGACTCCCCCATGGGATGGTGGGCTATGCCCACCAGCAACTAAGATTGAACATGTCACCTTGAGCTGAGCTGCCTTGACCTGCAGACAGGCGGCCGGATGGCTCAGTGGTTAGAGCGTGCGCTCTCAGCAACAAGGTTTTTGGTTCGACTTCCACATGGGATAGTGGGCTATGCCCACCCACAACTAAGATCGAACACGCACCTTGAGCTGAGCAGCCATGAGTTGCTGACGGGCAGTTGGATGGCAACTGGACTTGGAGCTGAGCTAGCTGCACCCTCCACAACTAAGATTGAAGGACAGCAACTTGGTTGTTCCCCTTCCCCAATAAAATCTTTAAAAAAGAACAACATAAATTTATTCTCTTACAGTTCTGGAGGTCAGAAGTCCAAAATCAAGGCGTTGTTGGGGCTACGTTCTTTCTAGAGGCTTCAGGGCAGAGTCTGTTACCTTGCCTTTTTTAGCTTCTAGAAGCTTCCTGCATTCCTTTGCTCCTGACCCCTTCCTTGCATCACTCCAACCCTCTTCTGTGGTGTTATCTTCTAGTAGTAACTCTGGACCCCTTAGGCCTTCCTCTTGTAAGGACCTTGTGATTACCTTGGGCTCACCAGGATGATCTAGGATAATCTCCTCATCTCAAGACCCTTTATTTAATTACACCCACCAAAGTCCCTTTTACCATGTAAGGTTGAACATATTCACATACTGCATACATAGGATGTGGACATATTTAGAGGTCATTACTCAGACTACCACAATAATGATATTGTAGTTATGTAGGAGAAGGTCCTTATTCTTTTTTTTTTTTTTTTAAGATTTTTTATTGGGGAATTGGAGGAGGGGAACAGCGTTGGGGAATCTGGGAAGGGAAACAGACAAGCTGTTGTCCCTTTGTTCGTCAGTCTAGTTGTAGAGTACCTGGCTTCACTGGCCCATGTTGGTATCATCATTGCGCTCTTCCTGGGTGAGGCAGATCGGTTGCTGGCCTCTATAGAGCTTACGCCAGCTACCAGCAGCCCACGCCATCTCCGGCGACCCACGGCAGCCCAGCTCCAGGTCAAGCAGCCATTCACAATCTTAGCTGCAGAGGACAGTGTCATTGGCCCTCGTGTGGGATCCGAACCCGTGCCTTGGTGCTCAGAGCTGGCGTCCCAAGCCAGCTCCCAACCAATGCGGCACTCAGCCAGCCCGAGAATGTCCTTATTCTTATTAGAAACAATATGAAGTATTTAGTAGTGATATGTCATGATAGCTAAAACTTTCAAATAGTTCAGTAAACACAGAGAAACTTAGAAATAGTTGTTTTAGATTTTTGTATTATACTTAAGATTTAATTAAAGAAAAAATTGTGGGGCTGGCCGAATGGCACGTTGGTTAAGAGTTGGCTTGGGATGCCAGCTCTGAGCAGCAGGGCCCCAGTTCGGATCCCACATGAGGGCCAGTGACACTGCACCCTCTACAGCTAAGATGGTGAACAACAGCTCAACCTGGAGCTGGGCTGCCATGAGTTGAGGGCCACGGTGTGGGCTGCAGCCCCTGCTGCAGTGGGCTGCCATGAGCTACTGTGAGTGGCTGGCAGCCAGCATGGGCCACCGTGAGCGACCGTCCAATGGCTGGCGAGCGACTGCCTCACCTGGGAAGAGTGCAACGATAATACCAACATGGGCCAGTGAAGCGACGTCCTCCACAACTAGACTGAAGAACAAAAGGGCAGCTACTTGTCTGTTCCCCTTCCCCCAATTCCCCAGCGCTGTTCCCATCCCCCAATTCCCCAATAAAAATCTTAAAAAAAAAAAATTAAAAAAAAATTTCCAAAAAATTGCTGGGGTACTGATTTTTCTTTTTTTTTTTACCATTGTTCTACAAAAGAAGGGCCATTTCAAGACTAAAAACAGTAGAATGACTTGACCCCAAAGGACAGGACACTTTTTTTTTTTAAAGATGTTTATTGGGAATTGGGGGATGGGAACAGCGCTGGGGAATTGGGGGAAGGGGAACAGACAAGTAGCTGCCCTTTTGTTCTTCAGTCTAGTTGTGGAGGACCTTGCTTCACTGGCCCAAGTTGGCACCATCATTACGCTCTTCCTGGGCGAGGCAGATCAGTCTCCGGCTTCTGAACGGCTGCTCACTACAGCTGCTGGCCGCTCATGCTGGCTGCTGGCTACACACGTAGCCCATGGCAGCCCACTGCAGCAGGGGCTGCAGCCTAGGCGGTGGCCAGCGACTCAGGGCAGCCCAGCTCCAGGTTGAGCTGTTGTTCAGCATCTTAGCTGTAGAGGGCAGTGTTACTGGCCCTCGTATGTGGGATCCGAACCAGGACCCTCTGGCGTCCGGACACTTTTTAAAAATAGGAAATCCATTTAGTTTTATGGAAACATAACTATATTTTGTTAGTTTTTCTCGCCACCCTTAGCCCTCAGACCAAATAGAGGAAAGATGAGGGTAAAAATTAATTGGGGGGATGGCTGGGCTGCTTTAGACAGACAACATCAGGGCCGGTGGTGCCCTCTTGTGGCATCTTGGAGAATTACCGCCATTTGACTTCATTTCCTCTGACTTGAGAGACAATTCCTTCACAATACCTCCGTCATTCATTCATGCATGCCAGGCATTGTTCTCAGCGTTTGGGATATATCAGTAAAGAAAAAAATCTCTTTCTCTCTCTTTACATATTTATATATCTGTATCTATATAGCTATAAATAAACAAACAAATAAGTACTATGGAAAAAATAGCATAAGGGGGACTGGTGGCCATAGTGTAGGGAGTGGTAGTGAGGGCTGCAACTTAAAAAGAGTAGCCTTCACTGAGAAGGTGACTTTGTGTAGAGTTGAAAGGAGGTGAGGGAGCTAGTCATGCAGCTAGATAGCTGGGACAAGAGGTTCTAATAACAGAACCTCTCTCACTGTTCAGCAGATAAGTCAGTACAAAGTCCTAAGGTGAGAGCTTGTTTGTCAATTTTAGGAAACACACAGCAAGTGTGTCTGGAGCCAGTGAGGGAGAAAGAGAAGTAGGAGACATGCTCAGAGGTAGTGGGAGACTAGATCCCCTAGGGCCCTGCTCTCATTTGATCTCCCTCCCCCCTCCACACATAGAGAACAGATAAATAGCAAGACTTTATTGAACTCCTCCCAGCGAACAGGTCTCCCTCCACCCCACTGGGCGAGCCTCACCCCCAGCCTCCCACCTAGGGCCAAGGGGAATCGCCCTGAGATGGACGCCAGGCTCTTGCTGGGCTTTCTGCCACACAGCCTTGGCCTTCCTGGCCTGCCTCAGAGGCTCTGTTACTCCTTTCCTTCCATATCTTCCTGGGTGTGTGTGATGTAGGCCAGCTGCTCCTGATCATGAGGGCCAAGGTAAAAGCTCATGTTGCTGTTAGAGAGGCCACTGACGTTTAATGCTGGAGACAGGGAGGCAAGTTTGAGTCCGGGTGCGGGCTGCACCTCTGCTCCAGGTCCTCTTACTCCCCACTCCTACCTCTGGTAACATTGACTTCGTTGGCTGCCAAGATGTCTGCCTGAATGCTATCTATTTTCATGTACAAGTCCTCGGCGTTGCTCTGAGGACAGGAACAAGGGAAAGCCGGCTGAGGTGCTGGAGCAGTCTGGACTTAAGAGTTGGGCTTGAGTAGAGGGATGTTGTAGGAGGGAGCAGGAAAGGGAACCAAAAGATGCTGGGTGGAGGAGCCCAAGCCAGAACAGATCCTCCTGTGGCTGGCCATGGCCCAATGTGTGTGGGGGGTGTGTGTGTGTGTGGGGGGGGGGACGACGGTGTGGAGGAGACACCATTCTGCCGGGCCAGCTGCTCTCTGTGGCGGGGAGGGTTGGGAGCACTTACGAGGAAGAGTTTGTAGAGTTCCTCTCCCATGGACTTGCGCACATGCTCCTCCACCACTGGGAACATCTGCACAAAGTACTGCGGCGGGCGGGCGGTGTAACTGCGGTGCCTATGCCTGCTGCCTGCCGCCCCGCTGCTGCCCACTACCCGCTCACCTCCAGCGTGAGGGTAGCCTGCCGCTGGCTGTTGCTGTGGTCCGTGTTGCCCATGGCGGCCATCAGGCTGTGCACCACACGCAGGTGTAGCATCTGCTCCGCTAGAGTAGTGTTGCTGCGCGCCAGGACCCTGGGCCGGGGATTTGGGTTGCGGCAACCCCTGGGGACTCCCTGGCGTCCACCAGAACACTCCCGGGCCTACTAGCTACATCCACCCACTGCCCCCTGCCCGCTTACCTGATGGCCTTGGCGGCCGCGGCCTGCTGTAGAAACACAGGCAGGTGGGCGGTAAGCTGGAAGACTGTGGAGTCTGGTGAAGGGGCGGCTGTGAGGCAGAGGCCCCTCCCCCCGCCGGATGCTCTCCACCCTTCCCAGCCGATCCTTACCATTGAGGATCTTGGGCTGCAGTTTGCTGGTCTCCATGACAGACGGTATCAGCAGGTCCACGAGGCCCTTGAGCAGCGCTGTGCACACGTCGTAGTTGACCAGGTCCTTGATCAGCTCGATGGCTGGGGAAAGGCAGAGGCAATGGAGAAGTCCCATTCCCACCAAAGTAGCAAAGAGCCCCTTGAACCAAGTCACTTCCCTTTATTTACTCGCATCCTCTTCATGGGCCTTTCCTGACCTTTAATTGGCCAGCACTGAGCACGGTGTGGTGCTGCTGTGGACACCTCAGTTCTGCTCTCCTGGAGCTTGTGGTTAGAGGGCAGGGGCGCCGAGCCCACCCATCAAGAAGGCTTAGTAGTTTTCAGGGCTGAAGGCTCCACAGAGGGGGCCACCTTCAGCTTGGAGGAATCCAGAAGGATTCATGGAGGAGGGAAGGGCTGAGTTTTCAAAGGAAAACAAGGACTGGGAAAGACAAGGGGTGAGAGGGAGATGGAGCAAGTGGGTGGGAGAATGTGTGGCAAAAAATGAGAAAGAGGTGGAAGTAAGGTAGACATCAGTTTAGAGAAACTTGTTTCTGATGAACCATTATTGAACCCTTCTTTGCCTCGGTTCAGGGGCTTTCCATACAGTATCCCACTGAAGCTCACCACAACCAATTTTACATTTGAGGGAATGAGGCTCAGAGAGGTAAAGCACTTATTTAAGGCACCACAGCTAGGAAGAGATGGAAGCAAAAGGAAGGGAAGATTTGGTTAGTAAAGGAGGAGGGATTTGAACTTATTGAAGAGATTTTCTGTGGATATTTTCGTCATTCCTTCCTTCCAGCATTCACTCAGTCTATTATCAAATCAGCAATTCAGGACTCCATTTCCAGAATGCCTATTGAGTCGGGTACGCAGTATGGTGACAAGTGCTGTAAAAGGGGTTAGAATGCCTGGAAAGATGGAGAGGATTGCATATTTTTGTAATGAGACAGGAACCATAGAGAGGGTGAGATAGTAATGCAATGGCGGAAGGGTGAGATGGCGGAAGGGTGAGATAGTAATGCAATGGCGTACCATGGTACACCCGGGGTAAATGTTCCTCTAAACACGTGTGCTTGCTACATGGTGGACAGCACTTAGAAATGTGCTGTCCTTAGAACAGGGGCCAAATAGAGCCTATTTCTCCATTTACTCCTAGGGGAACAGGATCTAGGGACTTTTTGGTTCCTTAAGTAGCTCATTTGCATACCAGAATGCATCGTAGACACAGAATTTCTGTATTAATAGTGTTATCTGTTTGTATAACAAAAATTAACGTTTTATTCCCTTGTCAGGAGATTTTACCTAGTAAGAACATGTTTGGGATAATTCTCTACCATGGGAGAAAAGCTTTTGGCTGCAGGTGCAAAGACACCGCAAGCGTTGGGGGACTGGCGGGTATCTGGGAAGATGGGCATGAGCAAAGTCTGTATCGGCTCGTCTCACTTCGACGACACACAACATCTTCTGCCTTTAAGCACATCCCAAGTAGGGAGGACAGCACTTCAAGGATTGGTGGTGAAATTTTTTGAGGCTTTGCTTTAGCAAGGCCCAATATGTGGTTTACCAAAAAAAGACACTTAAAGGTTTTTGAAAATTTCTAAGGATTTTGTGAGAGTTTTACGTAGTGTATGTTACAAATGTTTTGTTCTGGCTGGGAATTCTGTGGTCACGCGGTGCCGCAACGCACGCCGTGGGTTGGACGAGTGTTACGCAAGGTTGCTAGCACTCTCTGGGTTAGACGACATTTTAGAAGAGGTTGTTTTGGGTCAAGGTTGCTAGCACTCTCTGGGTTAGACGACATTTTAGAAGAGGTTGTTTTGGGTCAAGGTTGCTAGCACTCTCTGGGTTAGACGACATTTTAGAAGAGGTTGTTTTGGGTCAAGGTTGCTAGCACTCTCTGGGTTAGACGACATTTTAGAAGAGGTTGTTTTGGGTCAGTTGGCTGACCCGAGGCACACTGTTGGCAAATCTTCCCAAATCCCTGCGGAGAAAAGCATACCAGCGGGGCGCTGCCTTCAGGACTCTATTTCGGTTTAAAGCCAAATGTTTCCCTATTTCCTTGGATTAACGAACGTCTTTTCCAAAAACCCATGTCACATTCCTGGTAGAGTGGCTGCAGCACAGTAATAGATTCTTCTAGTCTTGGGGAGTTGCAGTCAATCAAGGAAAGAGAGGTCGACGAGTGTAGTACTCTGGTTTCTCTTCAAATCCCATGTCTTTAAAGAGTTCCATGGAAAGGAATGTTTGGGAGCTTGCCTTATTTCTGATCTCAAGAGGAAGTTTTTAATGTTGGTAATTAGGCCGTTACTAATTAGTCGATTAGTTGAGGGGCATAAAATACTTGGGAATATAATAATTAAGGTGACGACAGGAAATTCTATTATCGTAGGGATAATGAAAGAGAATAAATTTTCATTTATTTCTCAAGGAGTGAGATGTTTTGATGATTTAACTGTTGTAGGTTCTCTGTGTTTTCATCTATTAAGAATGACGTTTGTGGGCCGGCCGAGTGGCGCGAGGGGTAAGAACTGGCTTGGGACGCCAGAGGGCCCCGGTTCGGATCCTACATATGAGGGCCAGTGACACGTCCTCTACAGCTAAGATGCTGAACAACAGCTCGACCTGGAGCTGGGCTGCCGTGAGTCACGGGCGACGGCGTAGGCTGCAGCCCCTGTGGCAGTGGGTTGCCATGGGCTACCGTGTGTAGTCAGCAGCCAGTGTGAGTGGCCAGCAGCCACAGTGAGCGGCCTTCCAGAAGCCGGCGACTGATCTGCCTCGCCCGGGAGGAGCGTAATGATGGTGCCGACTTGGGCTGGTGGAGCAATGTCCTCCACAACTAGACTGAAGACCCAAACGACAGCAACTTGTATGTAACCCCTTCCCCAATTCCCCAGCGCTGTTCTCATCCCCCCAATTCCCCAATAAAAATCTTTAAAAAAAGAATGACGTTTGCTATAGTATTTTTTTTTTGTAGATAGCTCTTACCAAGTTGAGATTACATTTTTTTCAAACTTTTTTCTATCAAGATGATATATATATATATATATGCATTCCTAAATGACATATCCTTTTTATATACTGATCGATTCAATTTGCTAATATTTTGTGTAGAATTTTTGCATTTATGTTTATGAGTGAGATTGGTGTATAATTCCTCTTTTGTATGCTCTTATTGATGGATTTTGAAATTAAGATCATGCTTAACCTTAGAAAATGAGTCTCTCTTTTTCTAATCTCTGGAAGAGTTTGTTAGACTACTTTTTTTTTTTTGGTTTAAATGCATTTTATTTTTAGATAACCTACATGACATATTTTTCTTTTTTTTAAAGACTTTTATTGGGGAATTGGGGGATGGGAACAGTGCTGGGGAATTGGGGGAAGGGGGAACAGACAAGTTGCTGTCGTTTTGTTCTTCAGTCTAGTTGTGGGGGACGTTGCTTCACTGACCCAAGTTGGCACCATCATTGCGCTCTTTCCGGGTGAGGCAGATCAGTCGCCAGCTTCTGGACAGCTGCTCACTGCAGCTGCTGGCCACTCATGCTGGCTGCTGGCTACACACCGTAGGTAGCCCATGGCAACCCACTGCAGCAGGGTTGCAGCCTATGCCGTCGCCAGCAACTCATGGCAGCCCAGCTCCAGGTTGAGCTGTTGTTCAGCATCTTAGCTGTAGAGGGCAGCGTCACTGGCCCTCATATGTAGGATCTGAACCGGGGCCCTCTGGCGTCCCAAGCCAGCTCTTAACCATTGCGCCACTCGGCTGGCCCGGAGATCAGTTTAGAGGCGAGAAATACAAAGACATGAATTATAGTAGTGGAGACAGAATGGAGAAGAGGGACAGGTTTGAATGATATTAAGGAGTTATGATTGGTCTTATTAGAAGTTCGTTGAAGGTGGGAAGCAGGAAAAGATGACAATTGCCCACATTTCTAGCCTGGGTGATTGGGTGCTTTACACTGAGTTTGGGACCTTGGAGGATGAAAGGTTTGGAGCTGGACTATCAGGAGTCCAATTCTGAACACGGTCAGTGACATCCAAGGGGAGATGTTGAGAAGGCAAATGGAAACAAGGGTCAGGAGCTCAGGAGAGAGGTCTGAGCTGTAAAGAGGTCACTCAACCACTCTGCCCATCATCTACAAAACGGGAATAATAATAGTGCCCACCTCATCAGCTCCTTGTGAGGATTAAATGAGTAAAGAGCTACAGCAGTCCTTAGCTTAAGGCAAATACTTTATAAATGTTATGCATTATTGTTTCTCTCATTATAGATGGCAATTAAAACCACGGGACTGGATGAGGTACCACAGAAAGAAAAGAAATAGAAGAGGACCTGGGGTTGAATCCTGAGAGAAAAAGAAACCAACACTTAGGGGAGTGGTGGAGGAATAGGAAGATACAAAGGACTGAGAAGCAGTTTTCAGAGAGATGGGAGGCAGCCAGAACTGGGGTCTGGGAAGGAAGGGATCGGAGTATTCAGGGAGGGGGGTGTGATCAGGAGGGTTTGAGCCATTAAGAGTTCATACCCAGGGCCGGCCGAGTGGCGCGTTGGTTAAGAACTGGCTTGGGATGCCAGAGGGCCCCGGTTCGGATCCCCAACTTGGGCCAGTGAAGCGACGTCCTCCACAACTAGACTGAAGAACAAAACGACAGCAACTTGTCTGTTCCCCTTCCCTGATTCCCCAGCGCTGTTCCCATCCCCCAATTCCCCAATAAAAAATCTTAAAAAAAAAAAGAGTTCATACCCAGGGAGGCCAAGAAGCAGCTCTGCAGGGGCCATGCTCATTCGTTTGACAATCGACTGAGTATGTGTCAGCTACAGTGCCAGTGCTGACTGAAGCAACAGTAAATAGAACAGATGCAAGGAGCGGGCCACTGACACTCAAAACTTTAGTGTAAGAGGAAAGATTCCTCCAATGCAAAGAGGAGCCATAGAGCCCACAGCCTATCAGCACCGGAAGAAAGCTCGTTGAAGTGATCACCACCTGTCTGACAGATGAAGAAACCCAGAACAAATGATTTGCTCCGGGGATCAATGAAAACGAGTCGGAGCTGCAGCAAAAGACTTGGTATTCTTTTGGCAGAAAGAGTCTTAGAAATGG